CATTTTGGCGAATGTATCTACACCTCATGTTTCTTTGCTGTTTGCAAACGGGTGTTCTGTGGAGAATAAAAATACATTTACCGAAGATTGTTTATCATTGAGTGCTATCTGCTATGTTATTATGAGAAGCTTGGGCAGTCATAATGGAGATTGGTGGCAGAATTTTGAGATAAAACTCACAGGTTGAAAGCTATGCAACTATTGATAGTCCTTCAAGAATAATGCTAAATTACAGATTTAAATACTCATTATATATAATGTTTTCACAGATTAGGGCCAAAGAGTAAACTGTTATCTTACTACCAGCAATGTTTGCTGCACAGGATGATGGGAAAGTAGCTAAAAATCATTATGTTATCATTTATAATGCCATTGTTTTTAATGTAGTCACCCAATGAACATGAGGCCAAATTGAATCCAATACGGATCTGCCAACAATCAGATTGTCTTTAAATGATTATTGATGATGATCCGCTGTATGGCTAAGGCTATAGTACACGGTTTCTAGCTGTTATCTAGGCTTATGCGTAGTCACAAATAACAGTAAAAAATCTATTTGCTTTGGAGCTGGTCACATTTTCAGTTCTGCAGCTCACCCCAAGTTATTTAATAGAGTCATTTCCTACAGCCACTGTGCTGTACTTTGTTCTTTTTTTTGTCAGTTAATGGTGCAGAAGTAGTTTGTTAATTAAAGTATACACTTTGGCAATAGACACTGTTCAGATGCTGTGCCTCTGGGAGTTAGAATTTTACTGATCAATTAGTTCAATATTATTAGCAATGATAAGCTTTTTTGCATTAGACCGATGTCACTAAATTGCAAGATGATTATCGTGCTGGCAAGTCATTTGTGCATCTGGTGCAGAAGTAGTTTGTTAATTAAAGTATACACTTTTGCAATAGGCACTGTTCAGACCAAATGTACTCAGTGCTGTGCTACTTAACTCAACGAGTTTGAATATTTTTTTTTTTTGCATTAGACTTGTCACTAAATTGCATGATGATTATTGTGCTAGCAAGTCATTTGTGCATAAATAATATAAATGATTTGCCCTGTGTATATGAGTGTTAGAGAAAGAAATAGCTGGAACTGATTTGTATGAACCAATCTGGCCTAGCCTCATCCTTCCTTTCTCTAGTGTGTGCCCTTTGTTTTATTTATCTCCTCCTAGTGGGCCTGGTGATGTATAGGTTAACATAATATTAGCAAGGGATATTTAAATGTCAGTTAATAATTGTAGTCGACAATGAGCCCTGCTAAGTGTGAATAATTCCCTCTGAAGGGTCCTCACTATGATCCATCTTCTGGCCGTATATCTCTCCGTGCTGCCTGTCGAATATGCCCCTAAATCCAAGGCTTATTTAATTGTCAGAAAAAAATGTAAGCCCACTGAACAACATCAAGTCTGGATATTTCTTTTATTTTAGTCCTACTTGGATTGAAAAACAAAATATAACTGTGTTTAATCTTTCCTTATCTGTTTTTTCTTCATTCCCTCCTTCTGCTGCTTTATCTTCAGGGCTTTGTTTCACAGTTGGTGCAAAGAGTACAGTTTAAAATGGATACTGTGAAAATGGTAAGAAAATCTTTTAAGTTTTATTGGAAGACTTTGTAAAATATAAAGACTGGACATTGAAAGGGCCTTCCTCTCATGAATGAGGGAAAGCGTTGGGCCCTTAGCGCACATCACATAATTTTTGTGGAAGCCGCTTCTGACTGGAGCTTGTCATGCTACTTATTATTTAAAGTAGTTCAACTGCATTTTTTCAAAAACAACAATCTTTATCAGGATGACAGCATTTGAACAGATCAGTTCACTCTAAATACCATCAATAAATGACAAAACAGCATAATTTGCATAGCTGAATTGAAAACCATGATGGATAACAGCACTTAGTGAAATGATAGATAGAGAGATAGATTTTTTTTCTTTATTATTTTTCCTTAGGCCCACTTATAATATTAATTAGGGCTGCACGATTAATCGCATGCGATATTTAACGCGCATCTTGTCAGAAAGCCGGTTCTGTAATCAGCGTAAATCTCCATCACCTGCGGGCTTTCACATTGAGCAGCATTAACTACACAGAGCCGTTGTTCACTGATGAGCAGCGCAAAAAATCGCGTTAAATATCGCATGCGATTAATCGTGCAGCCCTAATATTAATCAATATTTTTGCATGAAAACTAAACTTATTTAGCCTTTAATTTTACCTTTATCTGACCCAGTTTTTTGCTACTGTGCCTTCATGGTAAGAAAGTAAGATAGAAAAGAGTATACGGGGAAAGCAATGATCCAAAAGCACTAGCTGTGTGCTAAACGTGGTCTTGTTGCCAAGATGAGCAGAGACTCTGGCAGCACTGTAATTTGCCACCTTGAGGAGTTTATCAGTAACACGCTGGCCAATGTTTCTACAGTGGCTTGGCAGCTTGGCTTTTGAGCAGAAAAGCTGCTTGGCTAGACACCAAAGAGGGATGGGCTCTGTCCGACAGGGACAAAACGCTGCTGCAGGACTCTACTAAATCTAGATCTGTTTGTGATAATTCAGTACTGATGATTTTTTTTTAGAATCATAGAGAGTAGATGAAAAGATGCTATATAGAATGGACGTAACAAGTCACCATCCACCAAGATTGCTGGTCAGATCACATATTTGATGCAGTTTCATATTTGATTTCAGTTTTTTTTCTTAGTTTTGTGTGTATATAAATGTGTGTGTATACATACATGCATGCATACATATATACATACAGTATGTGTTTATATTAATAATGCATTTTATTCACATCTATATATTTGTTTGTTTGTTTCAGATGTTAAAATAAAAGAGAGGACGATAGTTGCCATTTAGGTAAGTGTAAATGACTGTAAAAAAAAAATGGCCATAAGTAAGCATTTCTATCCGCTAGGGGGTGATATTGTACCATTTGAAAACTGCACTTATTTCTGAGATTTCCCAAAACACCAATAAAGCTCAGAATTTTTGTATAGTATAAAACTTAATTGGAGAATTAGCATTGACTGTGTCTGGTAATAAACTTGGTAATAAACTGTCTAAGCTTACTCCTAGAACATTCAATTATAGCTGAATGGAGCAAGAGGTAATGCCAAATGACCTGAGAAAAAGCATTTCTGATTGCAGATGTAAAGAGCAATAAAGAGACAAGAATGAATAAGAAAAATAT